GAAACACCTGGTGGGTGGGGGATGCCCCTCATCCACCTGGCTCTATGTTCATGTAAAAGTCTTGTGATTTAATTGGGATTGCCCTTCCTCATACTCCAGGAAACACCTGGTGGGTGAGGGATGCACCCCCCCATTCACCTGGCTTTGTGTTCATGTAAAAGTTTTATGATTTAATTGGGATTGTTCATCCTCATACCTGGTGGGGGGGCACCCCTCCTGCACCTGGCTTTGCGTTCACATGAAAGACTTGCAAGACTACCTGTGTAAAATTTGGGGATAAATACCCGCTCTAAGTTTCAATAAATGGCTTCTGCTCAATCCATTGAACAGATGTCCACTTTCTTTCTTTCTCTTTCTTTCTCTTTATATCTATCCCTCCATCTTTCTTTCTTTTAATATCTATCCCTCCTACAGAACCGGCTTCTGTACTAGACAGAGTCCAGCTTCTTTCTTTCTCCCCCAGTCTCTTTCTTTCTTTTAATATCTATCCCTCCAGAATAATCGCCGACACCATCACACCTTCCAAGGGACCCCCTAAATCTCTTTGCAGGGGCTGGCCCCCCGAACTCACAACTCCCATCTACTTAACATTCTCTTTGCTTGGTTTCTGAACACCACACCTCCTGTACTTCCTCCTTCATTAACACCCCTTCTCAGTCCTCTTTGCTGCTCTCTCCTCACCTTCTGAAGCTCTACATGTGCCCTTGAAGCCAATACCTCTTCTGTCCTCTATTTTATTCACTCTATCTTTTACTTCATCCAGTTTCACTGCTTTAACCACCCTCTGTGCTTATGATTCCCAAATTTACATCTCTAACCTCAACCCTGAACTACAGAATCACATTTCCAATGAAGACATCTTCTTGGCTATCAATAATCATCTAAACTTTAGGATGTCCAACACTGAAATCTAGATTTTTCTCACCCAAACCTGTTTATCACATAATCTCTCCACTATAACTGACCCTTCCATCAGTGGGTCTGACCAAAATATCTTGATAACTCTAGAAGTCTCTATATCTCATCTCTTATAGAGAATTCACCAGTAAATCCTTCACAATACCAGGGGAGTCCCAAAAAACCCATAATTTATTTATTAAAAATTGTGTATTTATTCGTACATGTTTAAATTCCAGTCACCTTCAAAGTACTCCCCATTTGATACAATACACCTATCAAGATGCTTTTTCCACTTCTCAAAACAGTCTCTGAACTCATCAATTTTGACGCTTTTTAGTGTTTCTATGTTTTTTGTTCCATTTCTTCCACATCAGCAAAATGTTTCCTTTTGAGGACTTTTTTCATGCAATCAAACAAAAAAAAAAGTCACTTGGGGTGGGGGGAATCAGGTGAATAGGGAGAGTAAGGAATAGGAGTCATGCTGTTTTTGGTGAAAAACTGCTGAACACTCAGCAAGGTGTAGGCTGGCACATTGTCATGGTAGAAGAACCAGTCACCTGTTTGCTACAATCAGGACGTTTCTTTCTCAAATCGTGACAGTTTTCTCAAAACTTCCAAATAAAAACTTTGTTTGACCATTTGATCCAAAGGTACAAATTCCAAGTATACTACTACAAGGGGTCAACCCTGTACAAGATAATACTGGTTTTTTTTTTCACACCCCCTCCCCTATATATACCTTTAAAATCTCTACAGAATCTACAACTTCTCACCACCCCTATAGCAGCTATCCTAACCAAACAATTATCATCTCCGGCCTGGACTATTACACTAGTGTTGGGAGCCAGCCTTGGAGGCCCGCCTGATTGACAAAGTACAGGTGCGCTGAGGACCCCCCAGCCACAAAGCAAGTCCGGGCAGCTGAGGCCCTTCTGTCTTCCTTCTTTGCTGTTGGTACAGCTGAAGAAATTCTGTGCAGTCGTGGAAGAAGAAGATGGCATGTTTATGTGAAGTACTCACAGCTAACCTGGAAATGTCATGGTTTATTTTTCCATTTTCCCACTATGCCACTTGGCCTTTTCTAACATATGCAAGGGTTAAACTCTGAAGCACATCAAGAATGCTTTCTTTCACTTGGTTATAAGTTACTAGATATTGCTTAAGTAAAAAATGATATAAGTATATTCACTCCTTATTTGATTTAGAATTATGCAGTTTAGTGTTTAGACATAAGGTTTTTTAGAAGCACAAGTTTATAGTAAGTCCATTATGTATTCATTATAAGCTCTAAACACTTATCTAGGAATTATGTAGGTGATTTATAACACTGTCTTCACTGACTTAGGATAAAGATTAGTCGTTAAGGTTTTTACTTAATTCAATAGTTAAAACTCTAAGTTAACATTTATAGAGTGGGTTTTCACTGAACTCATAATATACTAATCAGACACTTTTATGATAGATCAGCTAAAGACAGAAAGCAACCTTGGGGGGCCTGGGAAACATTACTAAAAGCTTCTTTTGAGTTCTCTTTAGAAACAAGCACTGCAGGATAAGAGAAAGGTAACAGACATCTGGACAAGGAAGGCGATTACAAGACTCTGAAGGACACAAAAGCCTAAGATGGGAAAACTCCTGACACATGAAGAAATGAACGCTTAAAAACTTTCTTGAGACATTTCAAGGACTGTAATTCGGGACTTTGGACTAAAACTATCATCTTTGGTCTTATGAATAAGACTCATTGTCTGAATGTTTATAGGGTTCTTGGCTTGTTTGTTGCTAAGACCACTAGATGATGGTAACTTGTAGAGGATATGTACGTGAAGAAATTTTCTTTGTCTTGCCCCTTTACGAATGGTATAAAAGCTCTGTGTTAACTAACATTAAATTGTCAACTGTTCAGGAAGCAGGTGTCCAAGTATATTATCTTCGTCTTTCGCCTATCCGTCTCTCCTTCAGGAAAACCCACGACCCAGCGGGGCTGGACCCCCGCACACTAGCATTCTAACTCTCTGCCTAAATGACCTGCCCAAACACTTGGAGCCAAAAAAATCCTTTTAAAATAAAAATTTAATCATGTCAATCTTCTGCTCCAAACCCCCTAAGGGTTTCCCATCACCCATCTTCATATTTATTTTCATTAATAAGACATGAGGTCAGACTCTCAGCCTACAAGGCCCTAAGTGAGCCAGCCCAAGTTACTTTTCTAGTCTCATTTCCCACCACTCTTACCCTGATGCATTTCGCTTCAGTTATATTTACTGCTCCTCAAAACAAGTCAAGCAATTGCCTTTGGCAAACTTTGTACTTTCTTTCCTCTAGGCCTGCTGTGCTTTCCCTTCAGATTTCCACGTGGCTTGCTTCCTCACTTCAGTCAAAGAAAATGAGGAGTTTGGTCCTTTTTCTTCAGTGAACTTTCCCCAGCAACAATAACAGTGACTGACACATAATAAGCACTCAAGACATATGTGTTATATGCATCAGTAAGTCTTCCTTTTCCAAACCAAGATTCTAAAAAAGTTGTTTACACATGCTTTAGTTGCTCCTGAAGCAGGCTTCTAAAAAAAATTTCTTTTCTAGCCAAGTACAGGGGTGTGTACCTGTAAGTCCCAGGTACTCAGGAGGCTGAAGCAAGCAGATCGCTTGAGGCCAGGAGTTTGAGACCCTCCAGGGCAACATAGCAAGATCTCTGTTTCTTTTAAAAAAAAAAAAAAAAGTATTTTCATATTCTTTAGATCTGACTTATTCTTCTATTCACATGAATATGATTTCTACATCATTCTCTTGCTATGGTATAGTACTTTCATGTTATTGAAACCTGGGACTCTCCTCTGTTTTAATAGCACATGCCCCAAATGAGCACTCCCCGAAACACTCTTTTGTCACCCAGTATACCAAAGCTACTATGTAAAAGGTTACAAAATGATTGCCACATTGCCCAATCTAATGATGAATTCTAAGTATCAATGTATGCTGTCCTTTTAATAAATCTTGTGTTCAAAAAAAGGAAGAAACTATAAGTGTAACATACAAGCGAAGTGCAAACTATAAAATCAGAAAATTATAAATCCCCTCTGTTGAATATGAGATAAATAGGCTCTTACATATTGTTCGCCAAATCAGCTTCAAATACATATCACCTGTCTCACTTAATTAAGATATAGTCATTCCTCTATATCCATGGAAAACTGGTCCCAAGACCCATCCTCCTCCCCACAGATACAGAAATCCATAGATGCCCAAGTCCCTTATACAAAATGGTGTGGTATCTGCAAATAAACTAATAAATAAATAGACATTCTTATATACACATTAAATCCTCTCTAGATTACTTATAATACCTAATACAATGCCTACACATCACTTCATTCATGTGGATTCAACCTAATACTTGGCACATTATAAATTCAAGTTTTTCTTTATGAAACTTTGTAGAATTCTTTTTCCAAACATTTTTGATCCATGGTTGGTTGAAACCACAGATGCAGAACCCATAGACATGGAGGGCCCACTATAACATCTACCCACAGTAACTTTGACTAGAGAATCAGCAGGCACTCATCAGAAGTAGCCCTCCAGGAAGAGCCTCCTAACTTCTAAAGAACCTTCTAACTTAAAATGTAAAGAAAGAGAGTCTACCACAGAGGGTGTAAATTCCTTCTCAATTACAATTATAGCCAGGCACAGAGGCTCACGCCTGTAATCCAAGTACTCTGGGAGGCAGAGATAAGAGAATTGACTGATCGCACAGGTTCAAGACCAGTTTGGGCAAACTTGCCAAGACCTTGTCTCTACAATAAACCAAAAAATTAGCTGGGTGTAGTGGCACACACTTGTAGTTCCAGTAAAATGTCTGAAAAATCCACATGTCTATATAACCTATAGAAACCAATACAAGTTTGCTAGCCATTTTAAGTTACTTACAGTTGCCTACTTAAAAGAGCACCCCCCCCAACCACAACTGTTCTTGATCCCTGAACTGTAACTGATAGCTTCTTCTTTTGAAATCCCCAACCCCACCCACATCCTGTTTCAAAAAATATCAATTTTGAAAAAATGTCCATGGTCAATGGCCAAATAAGTAAACAAAAAATTGCAAGACTAGCAACAGGATCCTTTCCCTATTTTCTGTTCTTTCTCAATATGTAACCTTAAGTTACTATAGTTACAGAAACTGTTTTTTTTTAAGCTGCATTATATATACAAACCCCCTACTTGCTTTACTTGGGGCCAAGAGATTTTTGGTAGCATTAGCCCTCTCCCAGTCACCGACCATTAAAGGACTCAGAATCTGATTCTCTGTGTCCATCAGCAATTTCTTTCTTGCACTCCAGTTATAACACCGGAAGTGTTATGGAAGGCTGAGGCAGAAGGATCGCCTGAGCCCAACAGGTAGAGGCTGCAGTGGCTGTGAGCATTCCACTGCACTCCAGCCTGGGAGACAGAGTAAAACTCCAACTCAAAAAAAAAAGATTACAATTATAAAAGATGTTACTTAGTTTCATACATGGAAGGAGGTCATGCTATACTTTAAGTAAATTTCACAAAATCATCTAATTTAACATCTTAGGCACAAATATTCAAAATCTCCCAAAGGAAGTTATTAGAATAGTAATAACTTTACACATATCAATATAGATGCTTTGAATATATTTTGTACCTTTTAGTGTTCACAACTATTCTGTGAAATACATATGCTATTATCCACATCTCAAACATGGTGAAACAGATACATCCTAGGTCACATGGCAGGGACTCCACCACTGAGCTATGTAATATAAAAGTTGGTGCTCATCTTCTCCACTACATGGTTTCTTCTGCTATCACTGACTCATCAAGACACCAAGAAAGACACTGAAGTTGAGTGAAGCTGCCATCTCTTTTGGAGGAAAATAGCAGTATATTGTAAAGCATCTTATATATTTTAAAGCACTATATATAAAATATTTTAAATATGTACAACAAGGATGTATAATCTTCAGACCGGGAGAAAGCTGGTTGTGTCAGTGATGTTATCAAAGCCACAAAGGCCCAACTTTAGACACCTAATGAATAGCAATGCTACAAAGTAAAAGTAGTAAGTCCTGCTTTGCCACAAGTAACATACCTGAAATCCTCATTTTTGGCCCTGATGGATCTCACCCTAATGTCAAAACTGCTTAGACATCCAAGAAGCTATAATACTAAATATTTTGCAAATACATGAATATTGTCTTTTTGGAAATAAGCCTCACCAAAGAACAAATTCACGTTCTTTCTTTTATTCTTAGATCACCACATACCTTTATTTATAGTAAGCATTTGCACAGCATCACCCAAAGTTTCTAAGTTTCTATAAATGATGAGACCAGCCTATGAAAAAAAAAAGAGTACGCTAAAGATAACCAAAGTAAAACTGTATGTCCCATCTTTAGAAAAATTCAAGAGAATGATTCCCAAAGCACCCAGAACACTGAATTCAACCTATTATGCTACACAAAGATGTATATGCCTTCATTTAATCACCACACCAATCATGAGAACAAAGAAAGTAAGCTGCCTAAGTCTTAAAAGGAAAGTTGAAGCTTTCACTTTTTTTAAACAACCAATATTACAATCAGGTATCCAAATCAAATAACTTATAAATGCAATCTAACCAAAGGCAATCTAGTAAGAGAAATCTGTCTTGACTACAGATATCCACTTCCCTCTATTTCATTAAATCAGCTGAGAATAGTAGTATTATGAGTAGTTCTTCCTTCTAAGTACTGATTATAGGAACAATCAAGTCACATCGATTGTTCACAAATCAATGCCACAGAACCTGTGCTAGTTTTCAAGAAGGTTTGTGGATTTTTTTTTAAGGAAAATTATCACCCTATTTCCCTACGAAAAATGTGTCTTTTCTGGTTACAAATCAAAAGAGTTTCCATTCCTAAAGATAAATACAAAAAAAAGAAACAATGAGTATTCATTTACAAATAAAAGTATAACTTAGGGGAAAATAAATTCATCATGGAATAAAATACATTTATTTAAGAAAAAAACAAGAGTGCTATATATAAAGCCCAGTTATACTATGTACAAATATGCAAATATAAAATATAGCAAGCTAAATTTAGAGGCAAATTCTCTAAATTTTCACTACATTTTAAATGTAAATATAAGAAATAAGGCCAGTTTCAATAGACAAAATATTTTCTAATATTTTATTCTGAAATTACTTATATAGCAAGCATATCATCAATACTATTTGTGTTTGTTCAGCCCAGGCTTATAAACTTTTAATACCTTCAGTAAGTTCCTTTTTATACACTAATTGGGCATTAATTTGGCTTCAGACAAATGAAAATAAGCAGAACTGAACAATCTGTTGATCAGCTAATTAATACCGAGAATAAGTTTCACTAAATGTCTTCCTAAGCATTTTTTAGTGTCAAACTGATAAAAAATATTTTAGTTGAGTTTGTGCCACTACTATGATAAAATTTTTCTAAAGAAATTTATGGTAAGGTTTAAAAAAGACATAACTATCTAAAGATTAAAGAGCTTTAAGTACATACATAAGCGTCAGTGGCTGCATACAATTTCTGGTCCTCAGTGAGTGGAAAATTACTCCAATTGCTACAGCGGATAGACTTGTCTTTCAGAAGCTGTTTACTGAAGAGGTGTTTAACCAGACCATTAAGGCTCCAAGTCTCTGCACATTTCAGCTGAAAATAATAAAAATTCAACATCACAAAAATTATTTCCTATTTTTAGATATTCCTAAGCACTACCAAATGACCATGCTACAAATACAACTGGAAAATGTTATACTAAAATAAAACCCAGAGACAGCCCTCAATAAATTTCCTGTCACTAAAAACCTCATTTTCAGTCAACATTTTAAGAATTTAATTCTGAAATTTCCATAATGCAGGTAGTAAAATTCTTGAATTTTAAAAGTATTGTTCATGGAAAAATGTTGTTTAGGTTAGTAGACACTCTACTTCCCCAGCTAAATGAATTCTTGGCTAAATATGAGAATTTAATGTAATGACTTCATTAATAAAATATGCGAAATACGGGGGATGAAACTGATGATCAAACTTCCACTAAGAGCAATATACCACAAAAGTTGCATTATGCTTTCCCTTAAATTAAAAAAAAAAAACTAATGGCATAAATGGATTAAAAAGATAAGCTTAAGGCTGGATATGGTGGCTCAAGTCTATAATCCCAGCACTTTGGGAGGTCAAGGCAAGAGGAATGCCTGAGCCGGTGGGTTCGAGACCAGCCTGGGTAACGTGGTGAGATCCCATCTCTACAATAAATCAAAAAACTAGCCAGGTGTGGTAGGGCATGCCTGTAGTTCCAGTTACTTGGAAGGCAGAGGCAGAAGGATCGCCTGAGCCCAGCAGGTCAATGCTGGGGTGGCTGTGAGCATGCCACTGTACTCCAGCCTGGGCAACAGAGTGAAACTTCAACTCAAAAAAATTAAAAAATATATAAGCTTCAAACACAGTATTTAAATTTGCAAATCTATGAAAGTGAAATAGTACGGGGGGGGAAGAGATGCTTGCTTAAAGAAAACTATATGCCAAGACAGTAGATTAGAACGGAAGGTTTTCATTATAGAACATTCACTTGGAATTCTTTACTTGCTACAAAAACATTATATAGCTTAAATTATTTTTTTCAAAAAATCTAACATTCAAATAGAAGCCACATTCTGTGAAACACAAAATTATCTTCTTTATGAAAATAATATATCACTTCTACCTTGTTATTGGCAACATCTGTCAACTCCACAAAACTCCTCAATCTGATGTCAAAATCATGTAGAAGCTTCCACTGATCTCCTTCAATTCCTACACCTGCCTTTTTAATTGCTGTATTTTCAAGCAACATTTTTAATCCCTGTGGAAAAGCTATAACATTTCATTGTCATTTCCATAAGTTCTGTCAAGAATGATGAATTTATTTTCTACTCTTATACATGCCATGTTTGTGTTTACATTTGTGTTTACATTAAGCTTAAATTCAGGAAAACATTCGTCTTGAGGATTTCTTTCTTACCTGAAGCAAAAGTTCTTACTGATAAATGGCAAGGAAAAACAACTAGCTTGAATGCCACCTTTGCTAGCACTAGCAGTATATTCTTGGTCATTTACCCCTTTAAACTTCAGGTCTCTCTTCTCTAAAACAGGAAAACATCAATACTTCACACATGTCAATGTTTCACAGATGTTGTGAAAATTACAGAGGTGTGAGTGAATCGGGTAGAACACAAATATGCAGATAAATGTAAGATGATGAGAGAAGTGTCACCAAATGAAATAACTTAATTTTACAGGGATATAGTTGATATATTACAATTATCAGCCATATAAAATTAAAACAAAAAAAAGAGAGATACCAACCTGACATAGAAGAAATATGAAACAAGTAACATTTGCTCTCAGACACACACAACTGAATTAGTGCAACTCTGTTAAGTTTCCCTTTAGTGTACACTGGTGGCCATTCCATGTCAAATCCCACCACATCGCCATCAGATAGACTCATGCTAAAGAGGGAAAATAGTATAAATTAACATTGAAATTTTAAACTTCTGCATAACTAAAGATATCAATTAAAAATTAAAAGTTAAACCACAGACTAGTAAAAGATATCTATGATATATACAATTGATAATGAATAGCCAGAAAATATTTTTTAAATCCTTGCAAAATATGTAAGAAAAGACATATAGCAAAAAATGGAGAAAAACAGGAAAAAGTAATTCCCAAAAGGAAATCCAAATTGCAAATAAATTCAAATAAATATATGAAGACAATAATTCTCACAAGAAATCAGAGAAATGTAAATTAAATATACATGATTTCACATTTATCTGATTGGCAAAAATTAAAGTTTCACAAAATCAAGTGTTAAGAGGATATTTATTGGTGAAACTGCTCATTACTGGTGAATGTATGAATTAGTAAAATCCTCTTGGAAAAACTCTGACAATGACAACATATAGTTAAAGATGCATAAACATTATGACCAAGAAATTTTTTTTAATAAATAAATAAAACTCTCATATGTATACAAAGAAGCAGACATGCTTAAAAATGTTCATTGCAACATTGTTTCTACTGGCAAAAAGTTAAAAACAAACTACATTTCTGTCAATAAGGGAATGAACTAATTGTGGCATAGTGAAACAGTGTAATATATAAATGTTCAATGGAATTAAATAGCTTAACAAGAAAAATTTTCAAAAACATAATGCTGAGTTTGAAAGATGAGTTACAGAGTACACACACAGCTATTTGCCAACTGTATATCTGACAAAGGCCTTTTAAAAAGATTTTAAATGGGCAAAATAGTATTTTATAATATTTCAGGATATGAAGCAATATTATCAAAACCTTGTGAGGGAATGCTAAACGGAACTCAATAGAAGTTACCTCAGAGGGGAACACAGAGTCAGAAAAGACAATCATGGGGCTTCAACTGTAGTTTGTTTTTTCATTTCTTAATAAGAGTTGAAGGAAATGAATATTAAGAAGTGATGGCAGCCTAGGCAACAAAGCAAGACCTTGTCGCTACAAAAAATCAAAAAAATCAGCCAGGCATAGTGGTGTGCGCCTATAATCCCAGCACTTTGAAAGGCTGAGGCATAAGGACTGCTTGAGCCCAGGAATTGAAAACCAGCCTGGGCACCATAGCCAGACCTCATCTCTACAAAAAGGGCAATAAATTAGCCGTGGGTGGGGCCGTACACCCATAGACCCAGCTACTCAGGAGGCTGAGGCAGAAGGAGTGTCTGAGTCCAGGAGGTCAAGGCCTCAATGAGTCATGATAGTAAACCAAGATAAAATTTCCTCAGAAAAACCAGCAGCACACCCTAGAACTCTTCAAAGAAGCGCTAATAACCACAGAGTGCAAAGAAGAGAAAAATCCATCAAGTTAGCCTGCAACTGGCCAGACTCTCGCCAACACCACCACAGTTCACCAGCAGCCTCCAGATGCAGTGAGGAAAATGAGTGAGAATAATTCAGTGTTTCTGTGCTCCTGTTGCGAACTTAAGGGTGGGGGCCCAGTCCCTCAGGAAAACTGCTTTACCCATAGCTGTGATATGCCAAAGCCAATGCAGAGCCGTGCAGGAAAAAAAAAAAAGCAACCCTTGAGCAGCCCAGCTGCCATTTCCCAGGAACTTAACCCTTGTGGGCAGCCCAGCTGCTTTCCAGCCTGCCTGGGAAGGGACAGGCCCCAAGGGGAAAAGCTCCACAGCTGCAGATAGTTTCCCACTGGGTGGGTTGCCTGAAAATACCTGAAGCCTTTAGGCCAACCGTACTTTGACATCCACAAGGCAAACTGCCTGAGGCCATGGTAGGAAGGAAGGTGGGACGTGTAACTATATCAACCACTCACTCCCTATGTAACAATTTTTGTGACTGCTCTGCACAGCAGTGTTACTCTAGTGGCCTCTGACTCCCTCCTAATCCCCACTGGGGCAGCCACGAGTGTACTCTTATGGGGTGCCCAAGTTTCTTCCCCCACACCCTCTACACTCCCCTCAAAGGCTTAAAACAGACTTTGGGTAACCCCAGGGCCTCGCCCTTCAGCTGGGTTGGCTGGGCATTTCCTAGGAGCAACATGTGCAAAGGAGAAAGCCCACAACCATTACTGCAGCTGTCTGTCTCCCACCAGCGCCACCTCCTGGATGGAGGTCAACATTACAGCCCACCACAACAGACATGAGACCTCAGCTTTGGAGAAGCCACTCCGGCCCCTCAAGATGCCAGCATGCCAGGAGAGGTACTCAGCACAAGACTGCCACAGCTGGCAACTAAGAAACTCACCACACCAAGGCTGTATATAACCAAGGAATCAATGCACTACCTATATCAGCCCCCTACGAACCTCAAATAAGAAGAAATAGTCTACCCAAATTGGGAGGGAGGGAGGGATGAGGGAGGGGTCATGAAACAACCAAAGGGCATCCAGTCCTATACCAGGGGCAGTGAGGGCCAGTTAGAAGCCCAAACTCCACCTGCATGCAGCCTACTTATGTAGTTAATCCTCACTTGTACCCCACATCCCTATAATAAAATAAAATTTAATTTAAAAAAAATAAAGAAGAAATAATCTACCCCAATGAGAAGGAACCAGAAAAATAATTCTGACAACATGAAAAAATAGTTTTCCATCACTGCCAAAGGTCACACCAACTCTTCAGCAGCAAACTCTAGTCAAAATGAAACTTTTGAAATTCCAGACATAGAATTCAAAAAGCTGATTATAAAATTGATTGACAAACTCCAGGAGAAAATTGAACACCAACATAAAGGAATTTAAAAAAAACATACCAGACCAAAACTATTTGTACCCCCCAAAGCTATTGGAATAAGAGAGAAACATAAAAATAAAGCTAGGTGACAGGAATACACGTTTGTTATACTGTTATCTACTCTTGTCTATTTCACAATTTTTAAAAATTGAACTCAACTTCTGCTTCAGGCCAAGATGAAATAATAGGGACCAGACCCACCCTTCCACCACATACAAATGGAAAATTGTACAAAACATATAAAACACCTGTTTTCAGATACTAGCAAATAAGCCGTACTGAACAGTGATCTCCGAGGGAAGAGAAAGGAAGGGTGAGCCTTACACTTGCCCCTGCCTCCCTGGAACACAGGGAGAAGAATCTCAAGGAAAGCACTGAGTTGGTGAGACAGAATTCAGAGCCCCAGGAGCTAAGAGTGTGTGAGAAACAGAGCAGGACAGAGAGAGTGAGTATGTGAGAGACTCAAACAGATGGAAAGAGTATGTGAAAGACAGAGAAAGTGTGTGAGGAACAGAGAGGGATGGAGAGAATACGGGGCAGAGTTCTGGAGAAGGGGAAGTTAGGCAGGAAAAAAGCTCCAGAAACCTCCTTGAGTCTTTGTAAAACACTAAGATGTGCATGCATAGGCTGAAACTCTATGAGATCGGGCAAACAACTATAAACTATTCAATTCTTAGGGCTTACACAAAGGTAAGAGGCATTAAGGTTCTGAAAGTCAGATTAGAGATTCTTGCTGATTACCTGGAGTGGTGAATAAAGACTCCAAAAGGGTCAAACCTTATTATAGGTCTAAATTACCCTTAAAGTAAAGGCAGCTGTAGACCTGCCCTAATAAAGCTTAAAAACACACAGTGAAACTCCGACTCAAAACTAAAAAACAGGCCAGGCTTGGTGGCTCAGCCTGTAATCCCAGCACTTTGGGAGGCCGAGGTGAGTGGATGGCCTGAGCCCGCGGGTTGGAAACCAGCCCCGGCAACTTGGCAAGACCGCGTCTTTACAACAAATTAAAAAAAAAAAAAAATTAGCCAGGTGCGATAGCGCGCAAGTTCTAGCTACTTGGGAGGCTGAGGCAGAAGGATTGCTGGAGCCCAGCGGGTCAACGCTGAGTTGGCTGTGAGCATGCCACTGTACTCCAGCCTCGGCGACAGAGTGAGACTCCAACTCAAAAGAACAGCAACAACAACAAAAAGTAAAAGAAAAGCAAGCCTCAAAATGTAAAGATGATTTTCAAGTAATTTACCTGTCTAACAAACAAAACTCCTTTCTTTGAAGGAAGACAACAAAATCTAAAATTTAACAAGGTAAAAATCACAATCCTAATAAAAAATGAATAGCTGTAAGAAGAAACAAACATATAACCAAGAGAAAAATGATCCAATAGAAAAAAAAACTAGAATAATGGAATTAACAGCCAAGTACATTAAAATAGCTATTATAAATATGCTGAATACATTCAAAGATTTAAAAGAAAACACGGATAAAATGAGAGCAAAAATGGAAAATATATTTTTCTAAAAGAATCAAATGAAACTTCCAGAGATTAAAAAAAATATATCTAAAATCAAAAATTCACAGAATAGGGTTCTTGGTACTTACCACAGGGTGTGTTCTTAAACTGACCATATAGAAAGAGAAGACAGAGCAAAGCTACCCTATATACACCTCAGCCCAGGACCCCTGGCAAGTCTGTACTGTAAAGAGGGGGGGCATGGAGAAAAGAAAAACATAGAATGAAATAAACAGCAGATCAAACACTACAGAGGAAAAAAACATAAGTGAACTTGAAGACATAGCAAAAGGAACTAGTCAAAATGAAGCATACAAAGAAAAAGAGATGAAAGGAAAAAAAGACTGAAAGGAAAGAGCCTCAGTGGCCTATGACACATTATCAAGCAATTTAACTTATGTGTATTAAGAGTCTCAGAAGGAGAAAGAGTAATAGAATGAAAGAAAAAAAAATTTGAAGAAATTTTTAAAATTTGGATCCACGGATCCATAAAATTCAATGAAGCCCAAGCAGGATAAACACAAACCATGCTACACAAAGGCGTATCATAATCAAATTGTTAAAAACCTGTGATAGCGCCGGGCTCGGTGGCTCAGCCTGTAATCCCGCGCTTTGGGAGGCTGAGGTGAGTGGATTGCCTGAGCCCACGGGTTCGAGACCCGCATGGGCAGCGAGACCTCATCTCTACAATAAATCAAAAAACTAACTGGGCGTGGTAGCGCGCGCCTGTAATTCCGGCTACTCGGAAGGCTGAGGCGGAAGGATCGCCAGAGCCCAGCAGGTCGAGGCTGCGGTGGCCGGGAGCGGTCACTGCACTCCAGTCTGGGTGACAGAGTGAGACTCCAACTCAAAAAAAAAAAACAAAAAACCTGTGATAGCAACAATCTTAAAAAGCCAGAGGAGGAGAAAAATAAACCAACAAAAAGTTTCTGCCTGCCTTTTATAAAACACATGCAATTCATCAAAACTACAATTCTTCAAGACCCTTTTATGCTCACTGCCTTCAGAGCTGACATACTACAGCAATGTCAAAGGTAAGATGGTGGAGTTAATATAAAATCATAAATAATAGATTTTTACCTTCTCTGTGAAATGAATTTAATTCAATATAATCAGACCCAAAAGTGGCCAGATAACTTGTAGTGGAAGTGAAAACATCTGTATGCTATGTCTAGCTTACATCTACCACCAGGAGACAATTAGTAAATACCTTAACTTACCTCTGTTAACCCAATATACAACAGTTTTTTGTTTGTTTGGTTTTTGGTTTTTGGTTTTTTTTTTGAGTTGGAATCTCACTCTATCGCCCAGACTGGAATGCAGTGGCTGCTCCCGGCCACCGCAGCCTCTACCCACTGGGCTCTGGCGATCCTTCCGCCTCAGCCTTCCAAGTAGCTGGAAATACAGGCGAGCGCTACCACGCCCGGCTAATTTTTGATTTATTGTAGAGATGAGGTCTTGCTGCCCAGGCGGGTCTCGAACCCGAGGGCTCAGGGAATCCACTCACCTCAGCCGCCCAAAGGCGCGGGATTACAGGCTGAGCCACCGAGCCCGGCTAGTTTTTTTTTTTAATAGACAGGTAAAACAACTTCAGAAAAGATGTGAGTGAATTCCTTACTACTTTTGTTTGTAAAATGATTCAAGAACCTTAGATTGTATTATCACAGTCCTCATTTTACACAGCCATCTTTAAAAGTACTAACAGTCATTTCTAATATTCTTTTAAAGGATCATTTGCTACAGTTTTTGCTAATTAAACACAACAGAGCCAATCATAGCCATTATTCAATATTACTATGTTGGTATTTTTAATGAAATATAAAGTTGCAGAGATTAAATAATTATTGCATGTTTTCCTAAATTGGTAAAATAAACACAATGTGTTCAGTAATTCTGTATGTAACATTGTAAGTATTAAAAGTCAAAAAATTATCTAAAGCAATAGAAAATTGTATGAATAAAGAAGCAGGAACATTACAAATTTATTTCAGTGATGTTATTTACTTATTTTTTTAAGTCAGGGCCTCTCCCTGTAGCCCAGACTGGAGTATAGTGGCACAACCCCAGCTCACCACAGTCTCAACCTCCTGGATTCAGGTGATTTTCCCTCCTTAGCCTCCCAAATAGCTGGGACTATAGGTGCATGCCACCGTGTCCAACTAATTTTTTTTCTTTTTTGTAGAGACAAGCTCTGGCTATGTTGCCCAGGCTGGTCTCCAACTCCTGGGGGCTCAGTTATCCTTCTACCTCAGCCTCCCAAAGTGCTGGGATTACTGGCATGGGCTACAACGTCCAGCCTGATTTTATTTTGTATTTAAAAAACAGAATAGAATTTAGTGACATTCTACACATAGAAATAATTATCTATTGAATACAACTCAACTGTAAAACTCAGTAGACTCACAAATACTACCATAATAATTATCACCTAAGAATCCAAATTCAAATGAAATAAGGAAATTTAAACCTCTTACCTAATATCTTCTGATAGGAAAGAGCAATCACTAGCTTCATAACTATACACAATGGATCCAGGGAATTCTAAGAAGGGGAGATGATCTTCCAAAACACTCTTCTGAATAGATGCCTTGACCTAAGAAAAATTCAAAACAGGCACAAATAAAGTTCACATAAATAATAAATGTTTACTGAAATAATAAAGTTCACTGAAGCATTTAATTTATAGTTTTAAGTTTTATCCATCAATCCTTTATAAACTAATGAAGTCATAAGGACAATTTGACAAAGATAAAATCACCCCATTGTAAAATTATTTTTCCTGACAAGTTTATTTGCAAATTCTAGTCTTATTTTCACAAAAGCATTTCTTTTCCTCAGTTTTTTCCTAATAATTGTATTAGTATTCTATATGTAATAATGTTGTCTTAAAATGCCAAAGACTGGCTGGCAGATCTTAAATCTATGAGGACTTTGGCTGGCTTTCCCCCCAAAAATCCAACAAAGTTAATGTCTGAATTATGATTTGGATTAGAACTAGTAAAGTTAAGCATGCAAACTGAATATAAAAAGAGAAAGTATATAGTAAGAATTCTCATTTTGTAAACCCAATTAAAATGTATTTCTATTTACATATTCAATGACTAAATCCTGGGTAATTCATGCAACAGCCACTCTGACCTAAACAATGACCTAGCTCACAAATGAGAATTGATTCTTTGAACAATCAGATTTAAATTAAACTTCCCATCTGAAAGCATCATCACTGAACAACATACCTTTCTTTCTTCTATAGCACATCTTGTATTCTGCAAAGACATCCATTCAGGAAATTTCTGCTGCTGTGGACTTGTTTCCAATTTTTTTTTATTCATCTTTAAAATGCCCTAGTTGCAAAATCAAAAAAAAAAAAAGACTTTATGAGATAGAATTGCAGAAGAAAAGGAAACAGACACAATAAGCTACATCTAGTTACTATGCATGCAGTATTTCCTCCTTTTAAAACAAATCAGACATTTTAATTGAGTGCTAAGATTCTAGCAGTTTCAAAATTCTGTTATTCTATGACTTTGATCCTTTCAAAGAATAACATTTATCCCATTATCAATGAAAATCTCTAAGTGCATGAATCATTATAATTTTTGACATCTTTAATTTTCTGTATGATTATCATCTATCCTAAGAAGTAAGTAAACACAGCAAAAGTATTAGAGTTATTCAAAAGTCTACTTGAAGATTTAATTTTGAAGATAGATAACAGCTCTTCTATATTCAGGATTTTTTTATTAGAAATTGGCCCAGTAAGTGAACAAGTTTCCCTTGAGTTTCCTAAAGAATTTTTTTTAATCTGTTATTATTTTTTTAGGGTTCTCCTCAATGTAAACCACACTTGAAGTATAATTTTTAAAAACACAGTGAATAAGAGAACTACAACATATTATTTTCCTTAATGGTAAAATGGTTCCATACCCTAATATGATTTCTACTAAACTCAAGTAGCCTTAAGTTCTTAGGAAATTAGCCTCAAGTCTCAACCTTAATTCCTATTACTGTAGGTTTTTTGTTTTTTTTTTTAAGCAGGATTTATTGAGAAGACAAAAGAGCTCCCGCAGTGGAAGGGGACCTGAGAGGGTGGCCCTACTTTAGGTTCCTAATAAGGGGAGCAGTTTTGAATGTACCCCTAAAGATTGTTATGATGAAACATTATATTAATGTTAAGTAATCACAGCAACTATTTATGATTTAGGGATACCCTGTTATATTTGACATTTAGTAATATAAACTGAAGAAATTAAACAACATCCAGCAAGCATCCATCTTAATTGATCATTTTCCCAAGCAAGAACCAAAAACTGAAAACACAACTTATAGAACAAAAAATTAAAAAGATGACTTTACCAAACTTACATTTTCCATATAGAACAAATTCTACCACTCTTAAGCACTGGGAAGAAAAAAGTTAACAGCAGGCTTGTAATTCACTCCCTACTAGAGAAGGGAGAACAAAAGACCTCAGTCAGGGATCCCAGTAAGCACGCTAGTGACATCACACCAGATAGTAGCCTTGTAAACTTATTAAGAGTTTTTATTAGTAGAAAAATACCAAAGAGTACATATCCAGAAGATGTTGTTAGTAAGATATCACTCAACTATCTAGGTTGTTCATTGTAAATAAGCCTGGAATTATGAATTTATTTATTTATGGCTAGAAAATAGGGGATAGTTAAATAAACTGTGTAATTGGCAGAACACAAAACAGAAGTTCCCAAACCATCCTTTGTGCACTGTTTTTGTGCCTATTGCTTAAAACCAGTCTGTTAATCCAAAACCATTAACACCTCCTAATGCAGAAGTTTTGGACTCACAAAAGTAATGTTCTATTTATACTTGGTGCTTGCCTATATTCTTTGAATCATTATCAAAGTTAGCCATTGGGTAAGATCAAGGAGTCACTGAATCAGAATGGACAACTCAATTCTTGGCCTTGCCATATGCATTATATGCAGCAAAATAAAATATGTAAAATATTTATGCTTCCTTAACACTAACGCATTTTATATATGTTAGTGGTTATTAAGTTTATATTTGCTATAAATTCAAAACCCTCAACTGAAGTCAAAAGTTGATCTAAAATTATATATATGTGACCAGTTCTTAATCTTAAAACATACTCCTATAAAGCTGGAAAACAAGTTTCTGCAATACCAAGAGTAGAACAATGGCAAAATGCCAGAAAAGTGAGGCTTCTGCAAACACAAACTCTACAAAGCCACCTATAGAATCTTGAAATTTATAAGTAATTCATTTACACTGCCAAAACAAAAAATAAGCTTCAATAACTCTCCCGTTATCCATAACACTAAAATCATTCTAATTTGAAATACCTAATTTTTAGATGTAAATGCTTTCTTTTGCATATACAATTCCAGCTAGATGCTTCCAGCCAAAAAAAATTGAAAAGTATATTTGTTTATAAACCACACATCTTTTGTCATACTTACTTAGATCTTGAGACAGATAAAAAGCATACAGAACATTAAAGTTGTGGAATAATTTGCAGTGGGAAATCCTTTAACATACATGAGATTTTAATTCTTGATCAGATAAAGTTTATTCTTAAAAGAGATCAAAGTCATAGCATAAAAAACTTTATTTATATATTTATTTGCTATATTGTTGAATATGAATGACTTTGACGTCTTTTTCTAAAATCACATCTTTTATCACGTCATAATCACGTTGTACCATCAAAGTATTTTAAATCCCTCTTCAAAATAAATAATGTGTTTTCACTTGGTTTGGTTTGAGCCTTCCTGAAATCATCTTGCCTATCTATCTAACACTATCTACAACTTTTCTACTACTTTAAAGGCTGTCCTAGATTTGTGTGGTTGTTTCGTTGTTGTTTATGTCTATTTTTCATTTTGAATGGCCCAATTGGAACATGTCTATTTTTCAGTAAGGAAATTTATCTCATTCACAGGCACAAAAATTTGAGTTTTCCCTTTCACCTTATTTTCATTAATATTTATCTTACTTTCTTCAGTTTCTTTTTTCTTCTTCCATTATTTTCCAACTGATGAAGTTATCCCTCATTCTCTTTTTTGTCATTATTAATGTTAAAATACATATCAGGTTTTAGGCTACCCTCCACTCCTGATCAAGACTTTTTAACAATATTTTCTTCAAATTCTAAATAGCAGCCATCACAAAGAAGCTCCATTAGCACAAGTGATAACAAATGGTAAAAGAGGAAGCTTTGCTACCATAGACTGAAAACTTCTTTTTCACCTTTAACAGTATTTCAACAATACTGTCTCTTTAAATTATTCTTCAAGGGGACAAAAATTCTTTAAATCTAATAGCTTTCCTTTTTCTTTAAGAAATATATCAATTTCTCCTGATGCTAAAAGTAAGCTTCAAATATAACTTAATTTTTTTATATCAAGTATTTCAAAATAATATTAAGACACACACTGATTTTGCTTTACTAGTACTATTAGTTCTTCTTTAGGATTCAAATAACACCAATTAAACATCACTTCCAAACCCATTTTAACTTCACTTTTCCTAAGCTGAATTTTTGCTCTGAATCCATAAACTTTATCAGTACACTCTACTATATATTCTACATGAGCATTGCGTTGTGTTAATTCAAGTGCTCAAAATGTCAGTTAAGCATGCCATTTTTGAAGCCAATAACTATACTTCACGAATCTGTAAAGTAAGAATTATTCACATAGAATAGTTTGAAAGTTTCCTTTTAGCTTATAAATCTTCCTTTAGATTGTCAACATAATTCAGTAATGAAATAGCCCATCACAATCCTCACCTAAACTTCAAAAGAAAGTACTGTAGGAGCTTGAATTTAATTAGGCTCACAATTTAAAAAATTTAATGTAATAATTTAATATGGAATTCAAAACCACAGGCAAATTTTAATATACAACTCCTTCTCTGTGAATAAGACAATATATTACTTAGGATATATTTTTAGAATAAATTTAACATAAAGTCTTTATATCTTCCAGTCATTACCAGTCCCAAATTTCCACTCTGTTTCCATAATACCTTGTATATCTCAAAGTATTCATTTATCACTTTGAATATTGCTTCCCTAGTTGGTTTTAGAAATTATTTGCAAAATAAATGATGTCTTCTGGTTGTTTTTCTTTGAGGATTCCATACAATCTTTGAACTGAGGTCATTTACCAATGCTTATGTATTCATATGAAATGAACATCGTGGCCGGGCTTGGTGCTCAGCCTGTAATCCCAGCACTTTGGGAGGCCAAGGTGAGTGGACTGCCTGAGCTCGGGTTCGAGACCTGCCTGAGCAACTTGGCGAGACCTCATCTCCACTATAAATCAAAAATAGCCAGGCGTGGTAGTGCGCACCTGTAGTTCCAGCTACTTGGAAGGCTGAGGCGGAAGGATAGCGGGAGCTCAGCAGGTCGAGGCTGCGGTGGCCGGGAGCGGCCATCGCACTCCAGCCTGGGTGACAGAGTGAGACTCCAACTCAAAAAAAGAAATGAACATCTTTTTGATTAAATAATCTTCTGGATTAGTCTTCTTTTTTTCTTATTTTAAAGATGTGGGGTACAATTCAGGATTAGGTATACAAGTGGTCATCGTACAGGTAAAGTTTGGGCCTCCCTTTGGTCCTGACTTTGCCTGGTTTGAGATCAGGTACCCTTACTGGTATTGCATCCCTTCCCCCTCAACCCCCAGAAGTATCCTGCTACTGCCAATCCCTTTCTTATAGTGTTATGGTAAATGTTCAGATTCCACTTATGAGTGAGAACATGCGGTACTCTGTCCTTTGTTTCTGTGATAGATTACTGAGTATGATAGAATCTAAATCCATCCAAGTTGCTGTGAAGTCCATATGTTTGTCCTTCTTTATGGCTGCATATTATTCCATCATGTATATGTACCACAGTTTTTTATCCAGTCCAGTTTCGATGGATAGCATGGTTGGTTCCATGTTTTTGTTATTGTGAATGGTGCTGCAATAAACATGCGTGTGCAGGTTATCCTTTTTGCAGAATGATTTGAGTTCCTCTGAGTATATTCCCAGTAGGGGGATTGCTGGATCATATGGAAGGTCAATGTCTAGTTCTTTTAGAAATCACCACACTGTTTTCCAAAGAGGTTACATTAGTTTGCATTCCCACCAGCAGTGTAGAAGTGTTCCTTCTTCTCTGCATCCTCGCCAGCTTTGACATATCTTCTAGCAGAACAATTGACAGTGGCAACTTTTCAATTTCCTTTGCCTCACTAGTCCCAAGCATAGTGTCTATACAGGCAGGAAAAATGAGCAGACTTGATAATCCAGTGAGGCACCCAGGCTAACTAGTTTAGGCATGGGGGAA